TCTCCCCTTATTTTTCTCTCTGCCAAAGAACTGATAAATATTAGTCTTACAAACATCTCAAATTTTTGCTTAACACTCAGAACATGGCTACTGAAATACTGTATGGCCACACTTGCCTATGCACAAAAAATAAAACCATTCCAAAATACATTCTTTATAGAATTACTAATTTGTATGCAAAATGTAAGAAAAACCTGAAAAAATATAAATATCTAACTTTTACTGGTTGGACAAGGTGTGAAAGGTGGCAGGTTGGTTATCTGGGCCAGCAGCTGTTGACACCTAATGCTGACTTTGCTGACAATATAATATGAGACACATCAATGTTCATCTTGGATGTTTCTTTGATCATTTACCACTTTTTTTAATGTTTTTACTATATTATGTGTTGAATAACTTAGCACATAATTCACCTCATAACCACAACCTAAAGGTTGAAGCCAATCCACACTCAAAAGAGGCCATGTCAAAACAAATAAGTGGAGGCTCGATCCTTCAAGAGGAACCAAAAAAAGAACTGACCAGGTGGAACACGGCAGAAAGCAGGATGACAGAAATCTCCAAAAATACATATTCACGGACACTTAAGGAACAACAAAAATGCACTTGGGGAGGAGCAGCCAAGGAACAAAGCTCAAGACTCCAAGTTCCAGAGGGAACCGGAGGGGTTGAAGGGCTCCTAAGGATCCACCTCAAGTCTTTTCCCACAGCCCTTGAAGCCCTAAATGAAAACCCCAGAGAGTAGACCCAAGTTCCACACCTGATGCCCTTTAAGACAGGAAGGCAACACCACACAAGATCTGAGCCAAACCCACCCCCCCAGAGAAAGAGAAAACTATGGATCCCTAGCAGTAAGCACCGGCTCAATTGTCTCCACTGCCAACATGGAAGGGACAATTCATGGAGAAGGCCAAGCTATACCCAGCTCTAATTTCAGCCCAAACTCCAGAATCATTAGATGTCTTGGCATCCAGAGAAAAAGGAGGGGAGGGGGAAGGGGGCCTCGTGAGTCCATGCCAGACTTATAACGGGACAAAGGGTGAGCATAGAACCAGTAATTAGTTGCTCTAAGTCCCTAAAATAAAACAAAGAAAATTAACAAATGGAGGCTCTAGCTAAAAATGGACACACAGCAAACCCCAATATCACAGGACTCGTGGCAGATGGTAATGGCCATCAACAGGCAGCATAGCGGAAACAGGACCAATGACCATCGGCATGTAGTAAAACCGATGGACAGCCCACAAGCAGTGAATGCAGGCTCTGTGGGCGAATCAATAATATTCCACAATGGAGCTTTACCAGGGCCTGGAGGTAAAGATGCCCAAAAATATAAAGATACCTAGATGCCTTACATTCAGGCATTAGAAATGTTCGCTGAAAGAAACTGACACCAAACGAAATCCTTAGAAAAAACTCTACTAGAAAGGGTATCAGTAGCATTCTTTATGGTAATACATTCATTCATTCATTCACTCATTGATACATACATACATACATTTCATACATATATTAATTGATATTCTTATTCACTGTAGACTCCAAGCAAGTCTGTTGGACCAAGCTCTTACAAGGCAAGCCTGGCCACAGGCTAATCATGGGAAGTAGATGAGCTCCTGGAACCCACTCCTGGTACAGTCTAGGTATAAATAATGTACTCAATCCATCTTTTTGTACACAAATCTAGTCATTCAATGCAAATACAACGGTAATTAAACTAAAAAAACGAAGAAAAGACTGTAGAAACCTCCAAGATCAACACTGGAGACCTCTGTCATAGGCTGCTATGTCAGCAAGATGCGAGGTCTGGCACTGACAGATCTGACTGGCCCAGCCACCCAACAACCTTCTACAGCTCACCTAACCAGTAAATATGTAGACATTTGCTTTATTTCCAGTTTTCCTTGCATTTTGCATCTAAATTAATTATTCTTAGAAAAAAAAATTGCACATGGCCAGACATGTATTCCATAGACACACTGTTGTGGTTAAACAACTCAAACTGGCATCTTACTATAATCATGATATTTATATACAGTCTGGTGCATTAAAATCTACACTAGAGTATTATCATCAAGTAGTGCTAAATACTTCACATAACTAAATTAGCAGTACAGTACTAACAGTCAGAGAAGCAAGCACACAAGCACTGACAAATTTCTGGAAGCGTGGAAACCTTTTTCATACGCAAACATCAAAATTAAATATCACCCAGTAAATCTAACAAATCGATAAAGGGGGCCTCGCCTTAGGATTGTCTCTTCAATGGCAATTCATACAAAGGTAAAAAGCAGGGACCATCAAGGAAGTGATGACTTACCAGCATACAAGTATGTGCTGGCTCTTGACACTTTTAAGTTACAACAATTAAATGTTAACAGATTTCAACATGAAATATAGTATTATATTACACTAATGAATGTAATTGTCTTAGGACAATATTACTGTATTATTATTATTTACTAATACATTTTGATACAGTACAACTTGTCACACAAGAACATTTCATAACCTTGAATATACAGTAGGTATTAAAAATATAACTAGATATTTTTACACATGTCCACTAATATCTTCACTGTAAATGATTTGACAAAAGCTTAAAGAAGCCTTTGTATACAGATATGAATAAATAAAGGAAATTAAAAATACAAAAATAGGCCCAATGAAAACTGAGAAGTATGTCATGCAGGACATCACCTTATCTCAATGATATCGGCAATGTTTAAACTATGGATTTATATGCAATGGTGCTATATAAGTGTGTGCATTCTGAGTACTGTTTTCCAAAATAAAGTATATTGTAAATTAAGATAAGTATACAAATATTTACGACCCTCTAAAGCAGTGATTCCCAACCTCTTTTGGGAACAGCCCTATTTTTAAATACTGTAGAACTTAAAAGACCTCTTGGGGGTCAACCAGTTGAAAATCAATGCTAGCTGATCTGCTGCCTGAAAGCTAAATTAGTTGGCAATATTAAGCTCTCCTGTGAACTACATTAGCAGGGAATATCGAATTCACCTGGAAACTAAATTAGCAGGGTTATATTTAACTTTCCTGTGAACTACATTAGCATTTTTGCTCCAACATTCTGTGCCTCAAATAACCCCACTCATTAATGCCTAAAACGCTTAGACACTTTTTACCATTTACTGTATAAGTTATTTGTTGGGCTATAACTATAAATTTAATGTCAAAATGTTTGCAATTGATTGTTCTACAGCAGAGAAGCAAAACAAAAGGTGTATTGCTAATAAACTATGCATAGCGGCAGTGGATATATTAATGCTAATGAACATTTCAACATTCATTTATTTTTCAACTTTATTAAAATAAAATATGGATGTGTGTCAATGATCGGTCTATATAGCTGCAAAAAGAAAATGATAACCCATACTTTTCCCTCAGATAATTTGTAAAGCAAAAGAGAAAATATTGTCTATGGTGATCGGGCAGTAGGACAAGGTGATCTCAGGTTGGTTCCATATTTTGGCTTATCCTCTGATAAAATTCTACCCACACTGTGCTCATGAACAAAAAAATAAACAAGTGACCAAATGACATGTTTTAGTATCATTGAAATGCTTAAATATTAGCTGCCAATATTCAGCTCTTGTGAATTCAATTAGCTGGTAATTTTCAGCTTTCCTCTGGACTGAATTAGCTGTTAATATTAGCTCTCCTCTGAACGAAATAAGCTAGTAAGGAGGCGATAAGTCACAATAACGTGGCTGAAGTATATTGACCAGACCACAAACTAGAAAGTGAAGGGACGACGACGTTTCGGTCCATCCTGGACCACTCTCAAGTCGATTCTCAATCGACTTGAGAATGGTCCAGGACGGACCGAAACGTCGTCATCCCTTCACTTTCTAGTGTGTGGTCTGGTCAAAATAAGCTAGTAATATCCAGCTCTCCTTTGAACTAAATTAGCTGATAATATTCAGCTCTCCTGTGTACTACATTAGCTAGTAATATCCAGTGCGCCTATGAACTCAATTAGCTGGTAATATTCACTCTCCTCTGTACTAAATTAGCTAGTAATATTCAGCTCTCCTGTGTGCTAGATTAGCTAGTAATATCCAGTGCTCCTATGAACTAAATTAGCTGGTAATATTCAGCTCACTAGCTAATTTGGTTCTTAGCTAATTTAAGTTTAGCTAATATTACTAGCTAATTTAGTACACAGGAGAGTTGAATATTACCAGCTAATTTAGTTTATAGGAGAGCTGGATATTACTAGGTAATTTAGTTCATGTAATTTAGTGGATTTGTTCATTTGATGCATCATGATATTGTGATTTGTGTGTGTAATAATCAGCTCTCCTGTGTACTAAATTAGCTAGTAGTATTCAGCCCTCCTATAAACTAAATTAGCTGGAAATATTCAGCTCTCTTGTGTACTGAATTAGCTAGTAATATCCAGCACTCCTATGAGCTAAATTAGCAGGTAATATTCAGCTCATCTATTAACTATATTAAGTAGTGATATTAAGCTCACCAAGGAGCTAAAGGAGCTGCCAATATTCAGCACAACTACACATTATTTACTTGTACAATTTATATTCTGGTGTACAATGAGTTTCATCAGCTCAAAATTGAACATAATATACAACATCAAAGCTTTATTAGATTGACTACCCAGCATTTTAAATCAAGAAAAAATTAATTACATGTACACTTTTTAAAGTGAACTTTGGAGAGTTAATTTTTAATCTTCTTGCTTCAGTGAAGAAAAACATAAGGAATATTGTGAAGATTCATGGCAGAATTATATATCTAAAACTTATTCATTTTCAACTAAATACTTTTTAAAGTGTACAAAATTTTACCCAAACTTACCATGTTCCTCAGCATTTAAATGTTGATTCACCCCAAGGAGTTCAGGTGTGATAAGTTGTACTGTACAATATTTAAAAGCAATTTGATTTAAAGCAATACTATTCACAACTGGTGATGGCCACCTACTTTTATAACATGATGCAAACAACACTCACCATCTGGTGGGCCTGTTGACTACCAGGTGGACCAGAGGAAGACGGGTGAACCTCTTGGCCGTCTTCACTGTAACCTTCCAGCATACCAAATCCTCCACCAATTTCACCTGTACCAAGCCACTGCAAAGAGAAAACCCAATGCTTCCATGAGGAACAATGTCATATATCTAGACATTGTGATTGAATGAGGGATCAAGAAAAGTATCATCTCCAGTGCCAGCATTTATTACAATACAAACAGAACTGTAATATAAAATCTAAAAAATGCAAATCATTAGTAAAATTTCATTCACAATGTTATTACATTTATAATAAGACACATTGCATCCACAGACATTTAACACAGGCATTGAGAGGTGTCAGCATATAATGGCAGGGTGAGGTAGTTTGGCATATGGTTTCTTGAAGTGTGGTAGTTAGGTGTGCATGAGATGAGCATATGGTTTATGGTGGGAGTGTCGTGGAGCTCTGGAAAGTCTGGAAATATGACGGTTAATGGTTTTCAGTTAGTGGTGTGGGTTCGGGGGTGGTAGATGGTGTAGTGTTTTGGTGGGATGTGTAGGTGGATGTTTGTGCGAGTAAGCAGTCGGGAGGGCAAGTAGGTATGAATGAGGATAAAGTCAGTGTCAGCATATGGTGTGCAGTTAATGTGTGGGGCATGAGCCGATTGGAGTGTGCTTAGGTGGAGGCATACAGGCATACAGTGCATGGGGGTTGTAACCACAGGGTGCATGGGGGTTGTAGGCATAGGGTGCATGGAGGTTGTAAGTATAGGGTATATTGGGGGTTGTAAGCATGTGGTGCATGAGAGTTGTAGACACAGGGTGCATTGAGGCATATAGCAGATATGGCTGGATAGGGCATGGTAGGGTGGAGATATGGTTCTACCTACAGGATGAATGCTAAGCTTATAGTAGTTTGAATTTTTTTTATCTTTCAATTAGGCCTGCACACACCACTTTCATATCTCATTTATTCCATGTCTACCACAATGCAAAAAAAAGGTTTGCATGCATTTTTTTTTTTTTTTTGCAAATTTGTACTAACAACTTTGTTTTTGTAATTTGTGATTGCATCATGATCTTGATGTAATAGGTTCACAAATGCTTCCTTATTTATTTGATCAACACTCCCTTATAATTTTTTACAGTTGTCTCCCATATTTTTTTTATTGTGCCAATTAATGCCTCAAACTTTCATTCAAAACACTTGCTTTATTAGTGCTAAAAGTCTTTTAATTAAGTTGTTTTTGCTTATTTTTAACCCTTAAACCATGCAATACATATATAGATGATTTCAGTAACAAAACCGAAACTAGCGCCTTAATTTAAATGCCCCGTGTGGGATAGGGGCAGCTATTGTGCAGCCACAACCGATATTTGACAGATACCACCTAGAAAAAAAATTGTGGCCAACACTCTTGGGTGTGAGAGCATCAGTATTGAGCACGCCACCAAGGCTGACGCACGTACCATGAGCGCACAGCACTGCTGTTCAGCTTGTGACCACAGCATCGCCTAAAAATGTCAAAATATATATGTCCATGCTATTATTTAGCGATGATAGTATTACAGAAGACCCCTGACTGTGATAAAACTAACCAGGATTCTGATAATAGCAAGACTGTGGTTATATTTATCGCTGTGCTCCATGGAGGGAGGAGTAATGCTGTGGGAGGGAGGGTGGTGGCGACGTCTTCTGACTCTGTGTGGCCACCTTTTATTGACTACACTCACCATACCAGCTTAGTGGTTCGCTATGGTGAACACAAATGTAGATACTTATATATAACGTGTGTATAGAGTGTAATAACAGCAATAGGAGTTGGTTGGGAGCCGCCATTTTGGTGAGGGAGGTGCGTCGTCAGCACGACTTGTCATGTTGTTTACTGGTGGCCACTATGGTCTTTGGGCACCATACCAGTTTATTTGTACAGGTATGATGAATAAAATGGGTAGATACTTATAGAAAAATGTGTGTATATAGCATAACAACACGACAAACAATATTGTTGGAGGAGAAATATTAGTGCATCTGGCCCTGAGGGCGGCCACCACCAGCTGACTGTGTGAGTAGCTACGTCTTATTGCCTTTACTCACCATACAAGCTTAGATGTACAGTTATGGTGAACAAATTATCTAAATACTTATATATAACATCTGTGTATAGTGAATAAATGCAAAAACAGTATTGTGGGAGGAGAATGAGGGCGAGTGAGGCGTTGTTGAGGGAGGGAGTGGCAGCGAGTGACTGGCTGGTGTGTTGCGGTCACTCCTCATTGCATTTTGACTCACAATACCAACTTAGTGGTTCGTTATGGTGAGCAAAACATGCAGATACTTATATATAATCTGTGTATATAATGTGATAACAGCAAAACTATTTGTTTATTGTTTTATGAACATAATAATTGAATCACTAATATACACACCATAATTTTGAGTACATCGATGGTTCACACATTTTATTATATAAATATATCACAATACACACTATTGAATAATATTAATGCAAAAAACTAAGAAAAAATCAAGAGACTTTGAAATAATTAGGTAATAATATATTTGTGGCAACTGCCGCCTGGCAGCTCGAGCGGAGTAGACCTCGCCTGGCGAAGGCTCTGTCAACGCCCCTTTTTTGCAAGACTTCCCTACCCTATTGCGGCTAAAATATACCACCTACGATTTTTTTGTTATTTTTTCTGTGATCAGTGAACACAAATGAACACTTTTGTGAAACTAAAGAATTTTTTTTTTTTTTTTTTTTTTTTTTTTTTTTTTTTTTTTTTTTTTTTTTTTTTGCGCCTGTGGGTGTTGAAGCCATTTGGACCCCTCGCGATTTGAGGGCTAACCACTGTGCTGCGTGAACCGAGAAATTTCGTTCTGAGAGTTGTACTTTTTTTTTTTTTAATCAGGCTATATTTCAATATTTTTTAATGTTATGTTGTAATGTTTTTGAAATGAAAATGGTTGTGTTTGGAAACATTTTGACATCAACTTTACCTGAATTTTTATAAAAACAATGAAAATATGTCCTTAACAATTGCACTATGAAGCTTTTGCCAAAAACAGGTGGTTAAAGAGGTTGGGTACCAAACAAATCATGCATATTTTAGCTTCTCATGAATTTATATCATGAAAATATTTAAGCATTTCCCTAGCCATGTGATTCAAGGGACTTCTAAAATTAGTGATGGCTATCTAAAAGCTTAAATCTGTTTACTTGGCCAAGTTCTGAGGCTATGAGAATTTTCTTATTTTCTTATAATCTTATTTCTCTAAAAACTAAATTAAGTGTCTAGCTTCCACCGATATCCATTTGTCCCACCATCTAATTTAAAGTTTTTCTTTGTCCACAACAATTGTCCCATCAGAATCTTGCATACAGTGATCCCATCCTCAATTCTGTTGCCAAGCCAAATAGGACCCCAGCAATTTTTAGCAGGAATCTCTTCTGGGTAGGGACACTGCTATATCCTACCCAGAAGAATAGTTTTAGTCTTGCCAGTTTGGCAAGAATTCTTGGGTGCCCATTTGACCCTTCATTGACTTTTGTGACCTGGCCAAGAGGTTAATTTTTTTGTTTTCTCCCATGTTGGTGTTGTATTCTATTTACACACATTATCAGGACAATGCCTCCACATCTATGTCCCTGGTTCGGTTCCTCATCTCAGACGAGGCCCAATTAGGCCAATCCTTCACAGATTTCAGCATTCTTGCCTTCTGCATCTTTAGCATGGATCTTGCCTGAACTGAACCCTGTTACAGGACTTTGAAGTTTGAGTGCAGTGTCTGGTTTCTCCTGCATCACAGCTGACAAGCAATTGGCACCTTTCTTTGGGGTAGTTTAGAGCTTGGAACAAGGATCTTGGACCCTTGTTCCAAGATGATATCAGATGGTCCCTAGGGCTCTTTAAAATTCATTCCTCAGTCCTTCCTCCGGTGTCCCTGGGCTCACATTCCTCATATGTGGGCCATGAAGTAGAGAGCAATGTTGTACTGGGGTGCGATTGCTAACTTCGAGTTTTTTTTTATGTGGGGGGGGGGGGGAGCAATGAGGGGGTAGCAATTTTTCCAACATCTTGGTTATCATCAACTTGTCTAGGATCAAAGATCACATAAGTGACCATGCTTCTGGTTCACCAAGTAGAATATGAAAAACTTTGGTTCTTGAATGTCTAAGTACTTGCCCTGCTTGATGACTACTTCCTATGTGTCTTCCAGTTGTTGTCTGTCTGCCCATTGACCATATATGAAACATTTCAGGTTTATTAATATACCTGAATCCATGGACGTCAATCATGCTATGTGGGAAACACTGGCTGCAGACCGATCAGCCTGGAGGCAGTCTGTTCAGAAAGGTTTCTGCAAGTTCAAGTAGTCACTTTCCAAGAAATCGGAGGCAAACAGACATAAGGATAGCCAGTAGCCAGGAAGACTAGAATCAGACTTCATTTGTACTCAGTGTGGGATGGACTGCCATTCTCGGATTGGTCTCATCAGTCACACAAGAGGCTGTACCAGGATTGACAACCAGAGTGCAACTCCCTAGTCTCCAGAGACTGACGGATGACTACTACTAAATCCCATTTCTCTTTGTTGCAACATCCAGATTAGTTAGCTCTTGTCTGGAATTCCAGAACTGGGTCAGATGCGGCACAAGTAAGTAATTATCAATAGAAGGCGCCAAACCGGGAAGGCTATGTAGCACCATCAAATGTGCGGGATAATCAGAGGGCGCTAAATATCACCAAGGATGCCAATACGAGAACAAAAACGCATACGGTGAACGATATCAAAAGTATCCGAGTCACCAAGAACTCTATTGAGAGACAGATGATCAAGGGGATTAAAAGGCCAGGCTCTGTCTTGTGTGCTTTTCGTTAGCCCGGTGACCCTGCACATACATCGCTAATGGTCAATGACGTCACCCAGTCTTCATCTTCCCTGTATAAGACCTTTTCTGTTATGGTGCATTTATTCCAACTCATAATTATCTGGAAGTTTTATATTTATAGTGTCCAGCCGAGGATCCTTTATTGAGCATAGAAATTGATATAATCCACTATCTCTTATTCGTATGAAACAAGGGGGAGCGCCACAAAACATGAACTATCATG